CACACACACACACACACACACACACACACACACACACACACACACACACAAACTTCCATGGTTTGTAGCCTCTAGCTTAAAACACGCAGCAAGGCAGCTTGTTGTAAACCATTTTAGCTTCAATTCTAAACAATGAGAAACTAGAGATGCTTTATCAGTCTTTATTTATGTCAATGGGCACACATGGATTTGAATTATCATGGTTGTAGAAGTGACTCACCATTACAGGTGCCATCCTCAGCAGGAGTGTACCCCAGGGTGCACAGTGGGGGTCTGCTCACTCTGGGGTAGCTTGGCTCCACAGATCTGGGAAGAACTGGTTGGAATGTGTCCCCAGCTCCACCAGTGGAGTCTGGGTAGCTCAGTTCTGGTAGGATGGGGCTGTTAGGGCTGTAAGGACGATCATATAAGCCAATGGGGATGCAACGGTAKCCTCCAATCTGGTTGACACAGCGCATCTCTCCTTGGCAAGCTCGAGGCATAATCACACACTCATTCACATCTGGAAGGCAGAGAAGATCAGTGAGACGACCATTCCTGTAGTCAAGAATCTGTGACAGAGTCCCATCCAGTCAACATCAGTATTAGGCTCTACAGCACGTTTCACTTCAGCTATTATTCTGGTTTTATTGCTCGTCACCAAAGGCAGTAATGTTATGGCCTGGATCTGCGTGCATCTGTCACCTTAAAGTATCTGGAACCACTTACAGAAAGCAATCGTTGAATATATAGTTCATTAACTTTTAGAGACTTCTGATTAAACTCATTCAATTTTAAAAACATTAAATTAAAATTCTACGTGGTAGTAGATAAGAGTGATCTCCAATATGAATACATTACARAAGATCTTTATTTAAAATATTCAATTCAAATTCAATTCAATTCAAAAATACTTTATAAATCCCAGAGGGAAATTAGGTGTTGTTGTAACTCATTTAAATAAAAACTTAATTAACTATTTGGAATTAACTAATTCCAAAAATTAACACACATACAGGGCAATGAACACACAATGTACACACAATGTACATATTAATAATTAACTAACTATTTAATTAACTAATTGTCAATTAACTATTTGGAGTCAGTTCTGGATGTTCATAAAATATCTCATTYACCACTTCAGGAAATAAAAATGAATAAATGTAGCTCTATCACTAATTATGTTCCCGAGCCAATCCAATTAAAGATGGCCGCCCCAGCCAACAAAACTTAGAAAACACAAAAATGGCTATACAGTAATTCAGTCAGTTTGTATGTATTTATACCAAGACAGTGAATAAGAGCTGTGGTCAAGTGAGCTGACAGCTGACACCCATTCACCACCACAATTTCACTGAACACACATATTGTGTACTAGAGTATAAGTACTGTATGTGTGCCACGGAAAACCAAAAACACTGACAGAAATCCAAAGTAAAACTTGTCACTTATACAAAAACTGACCTACTTGTCATTGGCTGCCTACGAAACAAATTCTAACAAAGATCCAGCATCATTCTATGTAGTGATGTCTGGATCACTATCAATGTGTTTGTATTGTGTGTGTTTACCCACAATGTTTAAGTACACAACATAGTACAACCTGTTTCAGCACAGCTCAAACACTTACTGACCAGTGGGTTCCACCAGTGGACCCATCTGAATGTGTGAGTCCTGTACTGGTGACACACAAARACCAGAGAGATTTGAGGCTTTGGGTTGATCTCTGAACCTGATGAAGTGCAATAATGGACTCACACCCTGTRCCTCACACCACAAACTGTTCACAAAACTGACTGCTGCCACACATTTGTTTGTGTGTACAGTGCCCTGTACACCATGTGTGTACATTGTGTGTATAGTGCCCTGTACACCATGTGTGTACATTGTGTGTATAGTGCCCTGTACACCATGTGTGTACATTGTGTGTATAGTGCCCTGTACACCATGTGTGTACATTGTGTGTATAGTGCCCTGTACACCATGTGTGTACATTGTGTGTATAGTGCCCTGTACACCATGTGTGTACATTGTGTGTATAGTGCCCTGTACACCATGTGTGTACATTGTYTGTACATTGTGTGTACATTGTGTAGTGCCCTGTGCATCTAGCTCTGTCCCCTGTTAGCCACAGTCCACTGTTTTCAGAACACATGGACAGTTTCAGTTCACAGGAGTTCATTTTGGATGGAATATGCTTCTAAAAGCTGATGTACTGTTTGTTTTTTTTATTAATTCTTTGTTTTATTATTTGTCTGTTGAATGAAATAAAGTTCTAATCTAAACTAAAGTAAACTAATGTCCACAGATCTGAAAGATGTACCCAGAGTACAGAACTGTTTGGATGATAATATGATGTGTTKTGTGGGTTATCTCCTGTCTGCCATGGTTGAAGTTCCTGCATTAAATACGACAGCTCTTTGTTTGTTTCTGGGTTTAACTCCGTAGTTCAATAAGTTTCTACCAAGATATCCACCAGTGGCTGAGCCACCTTTGAAAAAATGCTAAAATTGCACTAAAATGAACTGATGCACCAATAAAAGTCTTAATCTCCACACATTGAGCCTCATGTAAGAACCATTGGTACGCACAGATTTGTTCTTAAG